GAGTGAGGGAAGGAGGTCTGTGTGAGTGTCTGATGGGGGAGGGAGGGGTAAGTGTCTGAGGGAGAGAGGTCTGTGAGTATGTGATGGAGCGAGCCAGCGAGCGTCTGGTGGAGGAAGGGGTCAGTGAGTGTCTGATGGGCGAGTGTTTCCTGGGGACCCTGGCCGGCATGGAGGCTGCTGGCAGGACAGAGATTGCAGCTCCTTGGCTGAGGCCGGGAGGGACCAGGTGAACTGTACGGATGCCAGTAATAACAACACACCCCGTGTGTGTGCCAGCCCCTTGCCTTCTGTGTCCTCACCCCTCAGTACCCCGTGGGTCACAGGGGCAGGTGGGGCCGGGGACAGGAGGCTCAGGCGGGAGAGGGCGTCAGCAGGGGGCAGAACCGAGGCTCCCCTTGAGACTCGGTGCCGGTTCTGGGGGGATGGAAACAGGACCGCCTTCCGCAGAGCCTGAGGAGCGGGGACAGTGCTGCTGCGTCCTTGATTCTCGTACGACCCACACGGGCGTCGCAGTCGGCCAGCTGCCCGCGTCCGCTCCCCGCCACGCACCCGTCCTCTCCGCCTGTCGCCTGCTCGGCGGTCTCGTCCCTGCTCCGCCGTTTGCCGTGTTCTCAGCACAGGGTCCGGTGCGGAGCAGAAGTTCACGGACCCATTCCGCGGACGGGCAGGCGGGCCCTGGGGACCAGGAGCACGAGCTGGTGCCGGGGGAGCGGGGGGCCCCCGAGGACGCAGACCCACAGGTGCGCACAGCTCCCCCGGGCACCCCGCCCCTGGCCGGGTGCTCCGTTCAAGTCCCCAAGGCCCGTCCAGCACATCCCTGGGCCTGGCCCAGAGCTGGCATCCGCACCTCTCCTGTGTGCCCAGGTGGGGACCAGGCGGGGAGACGGGCGGGAGCCTCTCTCTACCCCGGGGTTTCTTTTCCTGGTGCTGCGCCACGCCCCAGCTTAGTGGGAAGAGTCTCCCCACACCCCAGCTTTCTCAGCGGGAAGAGTCAGAAATAGACCGTGGCTTCCCCAGCGGCCCCTGCGCACCACTCCTCCCAGCAGGGCTGTGTTTCTGGATCAGGAGAGGGAGCAGCCTCCAGGAGGAGCTGGGGAAACCCTTCGGGAGCTGGACCCCACCGCACCCCTCCCCGAGGCCTCGGGCCGCCCCCCGGGGGGGGAGCTGCGGGTCCTCCAAGAGCCCCTCGCAGCTGAGGCTCCCGAGTGAAGATGGTCCGGCCTCATCCCGCCCCCCACCCCCCCCCCAGGCTCTGCCGGAGCACGCCTCAGAGGGAGAGGGGTCTCCGTGCGCTCCTTGGCCCCTCGGTCTCGCTGCTTCTGCCCACCTGTGCCGGGCCCCGGGGTCTATGTGGGCCGTCAGACCTGATCACGTTTGCCTCTCTGAGCCTTCGCGGTCGTCTCTGCCAAGTGGACATAGTCCGGCCTCCTGCCGTCGGATGGCACGTGGGACTGTTGTCGCTGCTGGACAGCAGAAGCCCCATCCTGCCCAGGCAGGAAGTGGACGGAATGGTGGGGCTTATGTATTTAGTCTAACGGGTGTTAACTTGGAGTAGCACCGCCCCTCCTCCAGGGCCAACATCTTCCGCACGTCTTGAACGTTTTACGGGGCCCTCGGCCACGTGTGGGTCCACAGCACCTGCCCTGAGCGTCTGAAGGGGGTCCTGGCCCCGGGAAGGCCTGCGTCTCCTGGTGGTTGGTTCCGCCCTGTCCTTTCTCGGACAGCAAACCGGAGGGGTCCAGAGAGTGCTTCTGAAGCCTGATCCAGTCTTGCATCCCTTCACCCCCGCCCCACCCCCGCCTGCCTCAAACCGCCTTCTCGGACTCCTCACCGCAGACGCCAGGCTGTGCCCCACCCAGCTCCCTGCCCCACAGAGGCGCACTTGCCGAATTCCTCCCGATCTCAGGACCTTTGCACCTGCTCTTTCCTCCCCTCCTCCCTTAGCAATCCCCACTTACACTTTGGCTCTCATCTCAGGGGTCACCTTCCAGGGAGACGGCCCTGCCCAGATCAGCCCGCCTACACTCGGCTTTCATATCACTTTCAGTTCTTCCTCCTAGTACTGTGTGATGGCAGAGGGTCTGTCCCCCTAGGGAGCCCGCAGGCCCCGGGGGCAGGGCTGGGTCTCACTTCTCACCAGGGGCCAGGCACGTTATGAGTGTGCACAGAACATCTGATGAAGGCAGAAGTTCACAGTCTCATGAAGAGGGATCCCGGGTGCCCACTGGCCTTCCTGGGTAGGGCTGGGTCTGGATTGGAACTCTGGACACGCAGTGCTGCCCCCAGGGGCACCTGTCCTCGGTGATTGGGCTCCTGCCTCCTGGAAAGACCCACACAAGGAAGGGGCTGGGGTCCTCTGCTCCAGCCCTGGGCTGACTCTGCGGGGGAGGGTCGGTTAGTGCCCACGACTGTACCTGCGGAGTTGTGTCCACCCAGAGGACTGTCCCCTGCTCGCTGAGAGGTACCCCCGGGGGGCCAGCTGTGTGCTCAGCCTGGTGACCTCTGGGAGGAGCCCTGCAGCGTGTGGTAGGACCCGACCTGCCTCACCCCTCAGGCCAATGGCTTAGATTTCGGTGACGAGCTGTCCACCCTTTTTAGAGAACTAGGAATCAGATGAAATGCCTTTCTGGGAACTCATTCCATGACTGAGGACTCACAGGCTGGGTTTTCGTGAGAGATTACTACGTACCAAGCAGGCATTTAACACACACTCGGTGCATTGGCTCATTCTGTTCTCACACCTCTGGGCAAGTCTGTTTTGGTTGTCATTTTGGAAGAGCAGACGGTCCCCCAGCAAGAAAAGGCTCAGGGGGCGGGGGGACGTTGCCAGTGTGGATCTGAGATACTTTTCAGGTTTGAGGAAATCTCCAGCCTCAGCGCTCGGGTGTCCCTGCGGGCATCCTGGCTAAGCAGCCGGCAGTCACTAGGCACCAGGCTCTGCCCCCTCTAGATTCTCCATGGCTCTGCCAAAAGTTTCCTCTTCCATGAAGCCTGCCATGATCACTTCCCCCCCCCCCCCCCCCCACCGTCTTCAAGCCCAGTGTGTGAGCAGTTAGGGGACACTGAGGCTGGAGGGTGTGATCTTCCCAGGGCCGGCACCTCTTCAGGTGAGCCTCGGAGGAGATGGGTCTCCCCAAACTCCTCCTCCCCCTGCCTGGTCACTCATTTGTCACAGCCCCTTTTTATTTGCTCCGGGGCACTAGCGCTCTCTGCAATGGTTTTTGTTCTTTTTTTTTTTTTTTTTTGTACTGTTTGTCTGCCTTCCCCGTTTAGACTGTGAGATTTCCAGGACAGGGGAGGCTTGTTTGCCACTGTGTCTGGGGGCTGGAACTGCCTGGCACAGAGCAGATACTCCACAGTCCTTTGCTGACCAACGAATGGCGTTTGGGAGGTTTCGGGGGGACGGTGAGGGAGCCCCGCCTGAGAGCCAGGTTTCCCTTCCCCGGGGCAGATGGGGAGCTGTTGGGGGGGAGGGGCGGGTTCGGTCCCCACCAGACATCAGGACAAGATGTCAAAGCGGCCGCCCCCGGAAGGGCGCACACAAAGCCCGCGCCTGTGGTGTTCCCAGGAGGCGGGAGCAGCTGAGCCCTGGGGACGCCCTCGGCTTTGTGCCGGGACAGGGAGCGTGAATAGGAGACCGATATTTCTGGAGGCAGCATCCTCTTTGGGGCAAAGTATCGTGGCCCCAGATTCTGGGCGCTCGCAGGCTCAGCCCTGTCGTCGCCCTGGGGTGGCGCGAGGGTCCGGAAGCGGGGCGGCTCCTGGCTGGGACCCAAGCACAGCGTCGCCGGAGTTACAGGGACAACTGGAGCTTGGCGCTCATTCCGGCTAATTATGACTCCCGCTCCTGACAAGCCTTTTATTTGCCGTATGTATTTGGTTTTCGCTGTACCGCCGACCCCTTCGACGCGAATCCCCCTGAAAGGCCGGTCCTGCGCCCCGCGGGTGGGGACGGCTGGGCAGGGGGAGGCCGCCGGGGGCCTCCGGGGGGGGGGGGGTGCCCCTCCCCGGGCTGCGGCTGGCTCCGCGCGGCTCAGGAGGCGGCGCTCGCTGTCACTCCCCCTGTGCGGGCTGCTGGCAAGGCTGCTCGGGGCCGAAGCAGGTGCCACCGCTGCTCGGCTGGGCAGGAGGGGCCTCCTCCCTTCCGGGGGAGCGTCCCGCCGGCCGGCAGCGCTCTCAGGTCCCAAGGTGGCACGGGGGGTCGGCCCCGGAGCTCGGGGACAGCCGGTGACCCCCCTCCTGTGCGGGGATCCGACTCCAGCGCCAGCGAGAGACCGCTGCCAGAGGTCCCCTCCCTCCCTCCAGCTTTTGGGTTCACCATCTTCGGGGGCGCGCCGGCCACCCCTGCCCCCGGCAGAGCCCGGGAGGAATCTGCAGCCGGCCACCATGGTGCAAAATGTAATTCTAGTGTTTTTCCGCAGACGGCTGAGCCAAAGACCTGCCGTGGAGGAACTGGAGAGAAGAAATATCTTGAAACGTGAGTAGCTGTGACCCCTGGCTCCTCTTGGGGGCGAGTCCGTGGCAGGTGCACCCAGCTCTGCAGGCTGTCGCTCCCCGTGGCCCTGTGAGGTCCCACCGGGCTGCGAAAGGAAACCCTAGAGGAAAGTTGATTTGCTCGGAAACATCTCCTTTTAAAATTAAGAGGAAAAAAAAAAAAAAGGCTTGCCTCCCAGCATAATTAAAGCTATTCCTGGTTTCAGGGTTATTTAATTAGCCCTGTAGATCTCGGGGAAATGGCTCGATCATCTCTTTGCGTTGTGGGTTTCAAGCAGGTCTCCCTGGCACTTTGGGGTGGGAGTTCTGACGGCCGCAGAGGTCACGGGCAGGGTGTGGACAGTGTCAGAAAGTGTAGGGAGGGGGAGGTGGCACCAGGGCGAGACAGGAGGGGAAAGGAAGCCCACACCTCCGAGGAGCGCAGTCATGGGAAGCCTGCCCTGGGGGTCACAACTCTGTCTCGGGGATCCCCGGCCCCCCCTCCCCGGCTCCACCCGCGTGGGGGCCCCCAGGTGTGTGATCACCGGTGTCCACCAACTGCCTCGGCAGCAGAGGGAATGCCGTTCAGGCTCCTTAGAGTCCACGGTGGTTCTGGGCAGTCAAACCCCTTCGGAGGTGTTTCTCAGATGGCGTTTCTCAGATAGTTCACTGGTCCACAGACTTTAGTTTTCAAAACGTTTTCTGCAAAAAAGTGTCTTCTTAGGGCCTGGATTCCTTAAAGTACCTTCATTGTTTTTCGTCTTGACGTGATGCACACTACAGATATCCTCTGAGTTTGGTTTTTTATTCTGCGAACATCTTGTCGCAAAGTTAGGGCAGTGCCCACGCTGACTCTGTGCCAGAAGACGGGCGGCGGACCCTCCTGACGGTCTGGGCTCCGAGTCCCTGCTGATCCCTGTCTCCTGTCCCCGCCTGGGCACCTTCACCTGCCAGGGGGTCCCCTCCTTCACAGACGGTTGGAAATATTTCACCCTATGCCGAGGGATTGTACGTTTCTGTTGTCAAATTTAAGATAGGGGACCTAGTCTTCTGTGTTGTATCGACTTGGTCACGTCTGGGGATTTAAAGAACTTGTCATTGATTACCTGCCTAATCACACAGACAGATGAGAAAGTCAAGCTATTTAAGTTATCACGTATTTGAATTTTTTTAAAAGTTTATTTATATTGAGAGGGCGGGGGAGGGTCAGAGAGAGAGAATCCCAAGCAGGCTCCATGCCGTCGGCCCAAGGCCTGATGCGGGGCTCGATCCCACAAACCACGATCATGACCTGAGCTGAAATCAAGAGTCAGATGTTTAACTGACTGAGCCACCCAGGTGCCCACCCCGCCCCCCAAGTATCTGGTTTGTTAAAAATCCCATCACTTACTTATAAGGCTGCTAAGTCACAGGTGTCCTTAAAGCAGCTCGGAGCTGGTGGGCAAGGTGTGGACTCCGCTGAGCCGCCCTGGGAGGGGTCTGCTGCCACCGCGGGGGGCGGGGGGCGGGGGGCGGGGCTTCCCAGTGAGCTGAGGGGGCTCTGCCTCCGTGTGGACCTCTCCCCTGCTGCTGGGGACACCAGGTCCTCTGGCCAGTAAGCACCTCGGATCGTAGCAGTCTTCACAATGAAACGTCAGAGCCTTAAAAACAGAACCGGTGCTTGAATAGAGGGGGTGAGTGGCTACGTGGAACTTTCTGCACTCACCTTCTGTGAGAGGAAGGGAGAGATGGGTTTCCTCCGCCGTGGCCATGGCGATCCCTGTGTTGCCATCGAGCCGGCCACAGTTCGGAAGCTTTTCAAGGCCCCTGAGTGGGAGTATCTGCGGATGTCACTGCTAGTTCATGGCGGGTGTCGGCTTTGTTTCGTTCTGGGGAGCTGAGAATAGGGTAACCATGTATGGTCCAGCACACAACATATAATCACAGGCCCCCGACACCGGCTCCAAACGTTCCTGCTACAGTGCATTTCCTACCTATAATCACTTCTTAGCATGTTGTCACGTCGGATCTGCTCCCCTCCCAAGCAGGGAGCTCGTGACTGACTGCGATCGGGTCTCAGGGACACTTAGAGCTCGGCCTGGGTTGTTATTCCTGGATGAGACACGGTGGCCCCTTTCCAGGTGAAGGCACCAAACCTGATACGCCCGCGTTAGGCCCCCCGCTGTGCCCGCCCGGTGCTCGGGGCTTGCTGCTGTTCCGCTTTACTCGTTACAACGGAGTCCTGTGGTTTGCACCGCTGTCCCATTTCCCTGGCAAAGAGGTAGAGCCGAAGGCTGCCTGGCTCCACGGGCCAGTTCTGGCCCCTGCCTTAGAAGCAGCAATGCATCTCTGATTATTTGTGGAAGACTCGAATGTGGCTGTCCAAGCCGCTGGCACTCTTTCCGGAACGTGTGGGTGTGGAGACCGTGGTCATGGGTCCCTTGTTGTGTATAAGGCTCGGGGGGCTTTCTGGGTCTCGGAACAAAAGGCCCACAAAGCCATCGCTAGGTGGAGCTCAGAGACAACCTGGGGGCTCGGGCTTTGAGGAAGGCCTTGTTGGGGTCAGTGCCCAGTAGAGCACCTGGCGCAGAGGGGACCCTGCTGGGGAGGGGACCCTGCCTTCCAAGACCAGCGCTCCAAAGCACCGTGACCTTGGTGATGACGTCGCTGATGATGAAAAACAAAGGTCTGGTTTTCTGTCCCTGTCCCTGCACTGCTTGGACTTTGCCCGTGGCCTGTTTTTCAAGAAATCTGAAAAACTCGCTTCACGTCACCCCTTAAATCCCTCACGGTTGGCCTTGAATGGATACTTTCACGATTTTTTTCTTGACCGTATCATCAGCTTCCTGATGAGACCTTGCAACTGTGGTTTTCTTCTGGTTTATCACTTGGATTAAAAACCAAGAACATAACAGGGTTTCATTTCCTTTTCTAAAACATTCAAACAGGAGATAAATCTCCCTTTTCAAAACGTTACTGAAATGTACACTACATCCCGCACCCAGTCCCGCAAGTGCACACACGTGCGGAATGTCTTAAGTAAAGGCAGGCGGTGTGGGGTTGCGTCACCTGCGGGCAGCGGGCTCCCTCCCCTCCCTTCCCCTCCCTCCCAGCAGCCGGGTTTCTAGGAGTGAGTGCTGGCAGGTGAGCGTCCCTTCCCAGGATGGGTCCCGAGGCTTTCTTTAGCAACAGAGAGTGCCAGAAATAGGACATCCATTATCTCGTATCCCAGGGCAAAGCCTGCATTTTACACCGCAGCTCCCAATTCTCTATTTTTAGCTCCCAGGTGTAGGTACGAGGACAGCTTGAATGTTAATAGTAACAACTCAGCAGCAGAGCCGAGCTCCGTGAGGCACGGCGGCTCCTTTAAAAGGCACGGCGTGTCACGTGTGCTAAGCGTGCTCGTTTCTGCCACGGGGAGTCGGCTGGGTTCGTGCCATGTTTAGGTTTGAAACACACCCTGGAAGTATAAATTCCAGGCAAGCCCGTGTTGCCCAGAGTCTGGAGAGGTTGTTCCTTGTCGGATGTTGGCTGGCGAAAAGTCCGCATACCTCAGGAGGAGGAGAAGAGAACAGGGAGCAGGGACAGTTCTGTTAGGATCCGTGTATAATATTCATAGAAGATATACAAGAGTAGAGCTGTTGTGCACACTCACTTGTCCTACGAAAACTGTGCGTGCCGTCTACGTTCCTGGACGTAAAGAGATGAGATATTGAATGAGGGAAGAACTCCCTGTTTCTCCTGCAAATAAATGCACAGCCGAGGGGGGCCAGCGACCGATGACCCCAAGGAAGGGCAGGAGGGAGGCTGGGATGGGGGCAGAACAAACCCCCGCGCACGCGTCTCTGTGTGGCAGTGAGACCACGGTCTGAGCCGTGGCTGGCAGAGTGGAGAGCCAGCTGTGACGTGGAAAAAAGTGTCCCCCGTGAGGCGTCCTTGACATCCGCCTCAGCCACAAGAAAGTGGAGGCCGTGAGCTCACTTCTCCACCAAAAAGAAGAAAGTCTAAACCCATTTTTTTTTCTGTGTTAACCTTTCACAGAAAGGAACGATCAGACAGAGCAGGAAGAAAGAAGAGAAATCAAGCAGAGATTGACAAGAAAGGTACTGTGATTTAAGCGCCTTTTACGCCCTGAATCTCAAGGGACAGGCGCGCTGGAGAAGAGCCTCCTGGGCGGTGCTGGGGTGGGTGAGGCGGGGCGTCCCTGTGTCACTGGACGACGTCTTCCTGGCCAGCAGCGGATTCACTCCCCAGTGCCCCTGCCACCCCTGCTGTGACCCTCCGTGCCCGCGGGTGAGACCCTTACCGGGCACAGGAACAGCTCCGTGTGGCGGGACAAGCCCGATGCCGTCACCACTTATGTCCAGGGATAAGTTTTTAAAGGCGTTTTTCTTCATCCCCCTGGATCTCTACGCGGTGCCTGAGAAGCGCACCCCTGGGTGCCAGCGTTCGGTTCCCTGTGACGCTCTTCGGCACGTTCAGTTTGTCGAGGAGCTCCTGATGGCAGAAACTTCTTATTGGCGTCCGGGCTGTGTATCAGGGATGCACACGGCCAGGGTGAAGTTGGCCCCGGCCAGCTGGGTTAGCAGCTGCACAGTCCCATCTGGTTCGGGGTGCCGACCGTGTCTGAACTCGAGCGTCCTGGGGGCTCTCTGTGCTCCGTAGTGATGACGACGACGTCTTGACCCATGGGCTTCAGGTTCATCGAATATCCTTCCTGAGCTCGACTTGCGAGTCTGGTGTGGCAGCGTCCCCTCTGTCGGGGACTTTTTGTTAAGAGCTCCTCTGACGAGAGTGGAAGAGGCGGCTGCTAGAGTACAGCTTGCTCGCCATTCGTTCGCCGCCCTTTCCCTGAGGCTGCGCGGTGTACAGGGTGCAGCCAGGCTCCTGGGAGTGACCCCTCTGAGGGAAGGTGCTGGGGGGCTGCAATTTAAGAGCGTGTAATCTGAGCCTTCACGTGGGAGACTGTAGGCATTAGGCTCATTCTACCTCACAGTCGCAGAGTTTCCCGCTTCCCTATAGAAACGTGTTTGTTCGGAGTTTCCTGAGAAAGCTGGTCTGGCAGGTGATAATAGCTAACTGTGACGATCTTGTATTTCAGCTTAATCAGAGACCCACAGTTGACGAGCTCAGAGACCGAAAGATTCTGATACGGTTCAGTGACTATGTGGAGGTGGCGAAAGCTCAGGATTATGACAGACGGGCAGACAAGCCGTGGACACGACTGTCAGCGGCCGACAAGGTACAGAGCAGACCTGTCTGCTGGTCGGGGTGGGGTGGGGTATGGCAGCACGTGATGAGGGCAGGCCACGACATGCCAGGCAGTTCGTGCCTGGACGGTGGTGTAGCGCGGTTCTCGCACAGAGAGTCCTGATACCCAGGCTCTTCCTTCCTGAGTTTATTCGTGCCGGCACCGCTCAGTTGGGTTCGTACCCGAAGAACTGAGCCCCGAACGCCACGTGACGTAGGGTTGTTTTTTTTAATGTTTATTTTTGAGAGAGAGAGAGAGACAGAAACAGAGACAGTGTGAGCAGATGAGGTGCAGAGAGAGAGGGAGACACAGAATCCTGAAGCAGGCTCCGGGCTCCAAGCTGTCAGCACAGAGCCCGACACGGGGCTTGAACTCGCGAACCGCGAGATCGTGACCTGAGCCGAAGTCGGATGCTTAACCCGCTGAGCCACCCAGGTGCCCCCACGCGGCGTAGTTTTTTTATATATTTACTTCTTTGTCTCTCATATATGGTAACATACAAACACGCAGTCTGATTAAGTGGTCTCATGTTACAAGGTCGTGAGGGATGTTGTCACATACGTGAATAGCCAGGTTGCCCTGAGGTTTGTTTTTTTTTCCTTAGAGAGGGGACCCTACCAAAGTGGATGCCACCAGGTCTGGAAATTAAGCCTGTGCTTTGACCCCCGTTGTTGGTCTCACAAAGCCAATCTGGGGTCGCGGCTGTGTTTCCAACTAGGGGGCAATGTCTGGAGACATTTCTGGCTGTCACAAGTGACAGGTGCTACTGGAGTGTAGCGGGTGGAACGCAGGGATGCCACTAAACGTCCCCTAAGGCACAGGATGGCCCCACAACAGGGAATTCTCCAATCCTGAATGTCAAGAGTATGGAAGTTGAGGAACTATGGTCTGCCTGCCAAAAAGCAGGCAAGTCTGGACGAAAAGAGGCAGGGGACAGAGGTTTAAACAGACTTAGCTACAGTGAGACAGAGAGGGGTGGAGGCGGCCGAGGCCCTCAGGAAAACCCTGGCAGCGAAGACAGAGGAGGCTCTGGATGCGTCCAGGACTGGTCCGGTGTGAGGTCCCGGGAGCCTCCAGGTTAGTGTGACCTGGACGCTCTGGGTGCAGGACGAGAGCAAGGAAGCAGTGGGTCCCAGACACTAGGGGACAGAGCAGAGGGAATGAACGTTCACCCAACCCTCGCCCTGTCCTGGACTGAACCGGCCTGTCTGGCATTATTATTTCATTTAATCCTCAGAAAGTCCCCGTGAGAGATGTGTCATTATCACCCCTATGGAGGTGCTATCGGACAGATGATTTGGACGGGCTCAGAGGGTATGTTCCTGTCCATGGTCCCGTGCTGTGGATGGGCAGGACTGAAGCCTCATCCCCTCTGGCCGCTCATGATTTTACAGCTTTTAGGAAAAGCAAAATCATTTGCTCAGCCAGTGAGTTGGCCGAATGTGCTGATTGTTCCTTGTTCCCCGCGTGCGGACCGTGAATAAGTGAGGTGACGTGTAAATGCACGCAGGTGTCGCATCCCCTTGGCCAGGCGCAGCCAGCCGGCAGGCGGACCGAGCCTTGGCTCCCTGGGCGAGGGGAGAAGCGAACACGTCTCTGGCAGCACCCGGGTTTGAGCGCGGGAGGAGTGCTCCCTGGGATCCCTGGCTCAGAGCCTCTCCCTGCCCCCAGCTGGCCCCTGAGGGTTTATGTGAGGGAGTACACGGTCCCAGGGGGCAGGGGGAGGCTGGAAGAGCCCGAGGACCCGCTCTGAAACACTGCGATGCGCCCCCCCCCCACCCGCGTGTAGCCACGAAACTGTTTTTCATGTGACACCAAGCCTGACCTCATGCTGAAATTAGAGTGGCTTCTCAATGATCTAATTGCAGAATTCCAAATAAGTCCACCAAAAGCCCGACCTCCTTCATGAATTTGGTGTCCCTACTTCATGGAGTCCCTAAGCACGTGCCGGGGCCACCTGTCACATGTGGTGGGCGTTGTCTTCCTTCTCCGACACAGCAAATCAATTCACTGACCTCTTCCCGGACACCAGCATCAGGGCCGTGCACGTGCTAAGAGGCTGAATGCTGGGCCACAAGTGGTTTCTTTTTCTTTGTTTGAACTACATTACAAAATACCAGAACTCAACCAGGATTGCCAACTGTTGCTGAGCCGCAGCCAGGGTACTAATTTCCTATGTCAGCTTCTTCCTGTCCTGTGTTTACATTTCAGGCAGCCATTCGCAAAGAGCTCAATGAATACAAAAGTAACGAGATGGAGGTCCATGCATCAAGCAAGCATTTGACAAGGTCAGATTTCTAGATGTTCGTGTGGATTTCATGGTACTTACAACACGGTGTTCCTTTAGAAAGAAAAGATAAAACGCCACAGAGATCTGTGTCATTAGGCAAACGGATCCCGTATTTCTGCCGAGAGCTGAGCTGAACAGACAGTGTGCCTCCTTCTTGGTCACGGCTCCTGTGGGCTTGGGGGAAGGTGGTGTGTAGAACGTGGGTCCTGGGTTTATTTAAGTAGTTAATGCACGGTTGGTTTTTTTTTTAACGTTCATTTATTTTTGTGAGAGACAGTACCAGTGAGTGCGTGCACCAGTGAGTGAGTGAGCCATCCGGAGTGCGAGCAGGGGAGGGGCAGAGAGAGAGGGAGACACAGAATCTGAAGCAGGCTCCAAGCCCTGAGCTGTCAGCACAGAGCCCGACACGGGGCTCGAACCCATGAACCGCGAGATCATGACCTGAGCCCAAGTCGGACGCTCCACCAACTGAGCCACCCAGGCGCCCCATGTTTTTACCTTTAGTGCCTTCCTCCTTAAATTTATATTTTAGTTATGTTTTATAAGGTAAAAAAAAGAAAAGAAAAAAACTAAACTAAAACAGTAGGACTTTTTTTTTTTAATATTTTTTTTTAATTTTTTTTTTTTCAACGTTTATTTATTTTTGGGACAGAGACAGAGCATGAACGGGGGAGGGGCAGAGAGAGAGGGAGACACAGAATCGGAAACAGGCCCCAGGCTCTGAGCCATCAGCCCAGAGCCCGACGCGGGGCTCGAACTCACGGACCACGAGATCGTGACCTGGCTGAAGTCGGACGCTTAACCGACTGCGCCACCCAGGCGCCCCTTTTAATATTTATTTTTGAGAGAGAGAGAGAGACAGACAGACAGAGCAGGAGCAGGGGAGGGGCAGAGAGAGGGAGACACAGAATCCAAAGCAGATTCCAGGCTCTGAGCTATCAGCACAGAGCCAGAGAAGGGGCTCAAACCCATGAACTGTGAGATCATGACCTGAGCTGAAGTCAGAGGCTTAACTTACTGAGCCACCCAGGCGCCCCTTAAGTTTATTTATTTTGAGAGAGAGAGAGAGAGAGAGAGAAAGCAGGGAGGGACAGAAAGAGGGAGACACAGAATCCGAAGCAGCCTCCAGGCTCCGAGCTGTCAGCACAGAGCCCAACGCAGGGCTAGAACCCACGAGCTGTGAGATCATGACCTGAGCCAAAGTCAGATGCTTAACCAGCTGAGCCCCCCAGGTGCCCAGTAGTTAATGTACCTTTAAGAAAAGCCTCAAAGTAATGTGAGTAATCTGCCAGCACATTAGCTCCGCCTCCTGTGAAGGCCAGACGTCCCCACTATAGAACCCCACTCCTCGATACAGACAGGAGGCCGTGAAGTCACTCCCAGGTACTTGTTCCTGGCTTGAATTTCTGTTCACATCTTTAACACGAGCTGATGCTTCCCCATCACTCACATATTTGAGCAACTGCCGTGTGCCAAGTGCATCTACAGGTGCTGAGAACGTAGCCCTGCATTAGCTAACGGAGGGAACCTCTGCAGGGAACCTCTGTTCCGGTGGGAATACACTGGCCTTCATCCATACCCAAGACTTTCCACTTCAAGGTGAATGCGCTCCGTGTTTGTGTTATCATAAAGATGCCGTGGGGTGGCCTCTGGGTGACGCAGTGGCCCTGGCTCACTGGCTGCATGTCCGTTGCATGGCCACGAGTCGTAACGCCCGATGAAAGTCCTCCTGCTTAATCCTGACGAGTGTGGGTGTGCGGCTACCAGCCTTCACCCAAACCAGGTCCCGTATCACTTCTCCCTTGGCCTGAAGGCGCTCCAGCCCCAGATGCAAAGAGAATGGAAATCCTGGGTGTAGATACTTCCTTAAACTAAAATAGTGGGACTCCTTTCCTTTTCTGGTTGTCCCAAGGTGGCCCCCGCAGTTCTTTAAAACATTCGGTCTGTAAGGTCAGTGCGGCTGTGGAGCAGAGGCGGGTGTGATGGAACTCTATCCCACAAGGCAGTTTTAGGACGAATATATTGAGGGAGGAAGTTGAGGTTGCAAAAGCAGGAGAAAATGATACAAATAAATAGTTTAAAAAACTTTAAGGTTTCCCTCCCCCCTGACTGGCATATGTTTGGCAGGAACAGATCGTCTTAGTTTTGATTATTCAAAACACTCAAAAATGTTTAGGAAATAAACCGTGCCCAGTAAAACCAAAGCTGTTTTAGTGATCACCCTGTGTTGAAGAAAAAGGCAATCAATTATGACATGGTCTTACGGATGTTAACATTTAATAGGTTTTCTCATTACACATTATTAAGGGTTGTTTACCAAAGAGATCGATTTTCTCTTGTAAGCCCTGAATGCCTCTCTTAGATGATGGGATTTTAAGAGTTAACCCCAAACCTGGACATCAGGAAACAGTGATAAGGTGGCATATACCACATGCTAGCACTTGGTATAAACTGTTAAAAGAACACCACCAGCCACATGAGATTTTCTTCAATGTGTTCAGTGTCACCGCAAGCACGTTACCAGCTCTACCGGAATAAAACCAAACCACAGCTGTACTAGGACTTCCAATAGTTTGTTTCATCCGTCATTTCATTACTTCTACCGATGTAGCAAAGCCTTGGCCTTTTCTGTGCACACCAAGGGCTTGGCAGGCAGCCCTTCAAACGGAGTTTTAGGAAGTCTTCGGAATTCAGCGTATAATTCCTTTGGGGGCCCAGCGTGGGCCTGGGAGCCGGGAGCCCTCTGGGCCCCCCGCTGCTTGACGCAGAGCACGTCCATCCTTGGGTCTTATATGGTGGATGTCTGAGCAGCTTTTAATAGTGGAAGGTTTTGGCCGTTTTCACTTAGAAGTGTACAGCCTTAAACTGTTTTGTCTTTTCGTAATTCCTAGATTCCACAGGCCATAGAGATTTTCTTCTGAGAAGAATTTTTGTTTAATTTTTGATACCAACACTGAACATTCGTCAGGGAACTTTCCTGAAGTTCAGCTCCAGACCCCCTGCTGTGTCAGCGCCAGGAGCAGGATCACGCGGGCAGGTGGTCTGGGCTGTGCTCACCTGTACGAGGAGAAACCAGGGGACGGCCTTCACTCTCTGGTGTCTGAGGGGTAGGAACTGTCGGACCAGTTAAGACCCAGAGTCGCTCTCCCAGAAGAAAACTGTCCTTTGCCTTTGAACCTTGTTTCGCAGCCCTGCGGTGAGACGGAGGGCGGGCGACGGGCAGGCGCCGGCACCCCTCCGGGCCCCCGACACGGGACGTGCGGCACAGTGACGTTCAGTATTCTGTTGGAAAGACATTTTTATTCTGATCACAGTTAATTTGAGAACTCTTTAAGTTCACGTTATACAAAATTATTTACTGTATTATACTTTTCTTTTTTTATATAATGTCTAACAAAAAAATACAGCTGCAACATTTTGATTCCTGTTAATTTTGTTCTTTAATTAAATGACTACTTATTGCAGGCAATGAACCTGGGTTTTACGTTTTCTTGGAGGTGGGATGAGAGAGGTGTGTTAGATCGGAGATCCGTGATATAAGCCCCAGTTTTCTTACTTTTGAGCCATCGAATCCAAACACGCAAAAGAGAATTCCAACTTTGTGTGCTTTTGTTTTGTAAATTCTGGTAGCGTATGTGGTTTGTGCCTTGGGAAATCGAATTATCTTTGTCAAGTTACTTTGAGTTTACGTATCGTAGAGAAATGACCCTGGAAGTAAGTACCAGCTCGGCGGGAGAATTCTGCCACGATGAAGATGAGATGAAGATGAGGCCCTCTTTAAGGGTATCTTCAGGTTTGCATTTGTAAACACTGTTGAAAACCGTTAGAAGAGACAAAGGTTGAGATGGAGTGGAGATTATAAAGAGGAAAGTTACCCCAGCACAAAGGTAAAAAGGAATGTTGGCACCAAGGGGGAAAATAAACACAAATTAACGTTCCCCGAAAGGTAGTTTTACTTGGCCTTTGGAGAAGTGTCCTCACAGAAGTGAGCCCGCCTGCCCACCCGAGAGCCTCCGGAGACATGGGGAGGCGGGAAGCCCAGGGCTCGGAGCACGCCTTGAGAAGCCTGCAGACCCTGTGGCTTAAATCCCAGCTCCGGGCTGTTCACCAAGGTTCCGACTTTCTCTCTAGGAAGATCATCGCTCTCTCTGTCTGTCTGTCTCTCTCTCTCTCCCTCTCTCTCAACACATGGCTGTAATTTCTAAATGCGGGAGCAGCACCGACGTGTTGTATGCATCCGGCGAATGTTACCTGCTCGTGGGCCCGCCAGGGAGCCCCGGAGCAGGTGCGTGTCCCCTATGACTTCCTCCTGCACACATGGCCTCACTGCTTCCCACGAACTCTCCTGTTCAACTGCTTTATGACCAAAGCGGGTAGGGTGCCCATGGAAGCTGCTCGGCCCTCGTGGCAGCACCCTGTCCTAAGGGACAGGTGCTGGATCCTGGCTGCTGGCAAACACAGTGCTAGTTGGTTGAATTCGACTCTTTGAAAGCAATCGCTGTTGGTCACAAACCTCCAGCTACCTCTTAACTTGCTGTGTCACCTCCTGCGAATCGGTTCACTTCTTGGAGCCTCAATTTCTTTGCCTGTGAGACGAGATGATATGTAAACATTTTCTAACCAGAAGCCTGGTTATGCTTTTGTGAGCATTTATGTGTATGTATATATATATGGTGTATTTAGCATATACCTGTATTTACTGTATTCATAAGCCATTATTTGTGGCCAGTCAACCTATTCTAAAGCACATACTAGCAGCTCCCTACTTTGTTTTATTCCATTTAAAGTATTAGCTGGGGCCCAGATTGTGTAACACTATGATTTCCATCTCTTTCATATAGAAATATCCACCTACTTCCTATGAAATGAGGAACAGAGAGGGGTCCTTCTGTTCGAAACCATCCTGGCCCCCAAAGCAGAAGGGACCGGTCCTGTTTAGAAGATGGCTAAACTAGGCCTCTGGTTAGAGGTGGCTTGGCAGATGGGACACGTGTTCAGGTAGTTTTGCCCAAGTACAGTCAGTTCCGTAACTAATGGGTAAATTCAAAAGTTAAGATACAGGATACCCGATGGAGGGTTTGGTGTGGTTCAGGCTCGAGGGCTCTAAGATAATCCTAAAACCAGAAGACATCTTCATTGTAATCAAAATTTTTAGCAACAATATCTAACTTCTACGTTGTCTTAATCATAAACTGTTCCTTTAAATTGTATTTCTGAAGTTCACATTCTTATCCTAGAGGTCAAGAGATGAACTGAAACTGTGAATGGAGTGTGTCCACCCTGCACTAAGGAAGGCTCTGGTATGCCATCTCGGATGTCTCTTATCCTGTCTGGAGGAACAAAATGAAAAAGCAGCGTATAAATGTCACGGAATGGGTGATACGCATGCATGTGTATATAAACGCACATGTGTTCTATAAATTTGAGGAGAAAGTGTACGTACTTAAGAGCCTTGAGACTTAGGAAAAACCACGTCTGCCTTCTTATTCAATAACAATCACATACAGTGTCTGAGTTATCACAGTTCTCCACAACTGGGAGGCATTAATGAGGTTTTTATGCATTGACTTCACAAATCATTTGTTCTAATTTTTACAAAATAAGATCAGCTATTAAAGTAACAACAGGAAGTCATTAAAGAAATTCTGTTTTTAAGCAGTTGAACAGATTTAAAAACCGTAATTGATTATTTTATGGGGGAAATTAAGTCACTTTTAGAAATACCAAGTTTTAACCCAATATAGGAGAAATAGTACATTATAGGTCTTTGTAAAAACTACATTTTTAAACATTAAAAGGGGCTTGGAAATTATACAACATGAATAAATTTTAGACAACTGAAATGTCTGAAGCCCCCTGAGCCCAGAACCCTAACATCAAGAAGTCCATCTTGTGGAAATATGTGGTAACTACAAGTCTAAATTCTGGGAGATGAAAATCCAAGATTTTAGCTACGTACCCACAGTTCTTTAATAGCAAATTCAAGTCCAGTAATGGAGAATTCTAATTCTATTGATAATATCATTAGTCTCACATGCTTCTAATCTCCACTTACCCAGGTTCTTTTCCAGAGATTTTTTTCAGTTTTTCGTGTGAAAGAAACCTCTGAGATGTTGGTAAGAAACTGAACATGTTGAGAGTCCAACAGAACATATGAAAATATTTCTAAACAGTGACTTACCATAAATTAATTTTTCTGTGGACTTATTGATAGTGATCTCAGGAACAGATCACTAGCTCATATTTAGATGATGTTAGACTGAACAATGGAAAAGCTGCTGGCTATCAGGTCCACTGCTTTATGAAAAACAATCTTGTTTTATGTTTAGAATAATAACTTTTAAGTCTTTCATCTCAACTGTTAAATCTCCTTTAAAGAAGGTGAACAGGGAAATTCTAAAAATCACACTTTCTTGACAATAGGCAATGGGAGAGAAAGCTGGATGTGCATAATGCTAATAGTTCTTAGAAACATGCTATTATATATGCATTATTGCCTTCTAAATGCAGCTTATTCTTTTTCAAACAGACATATACTGAAAGTGTTATTTCAGCACAGGTGTGTGCCCTGAGAGAATGGTCCATTCCCTGCCTTCCACCCAGAGAACCGGGTGACACTGGTGACCCCCGGTGTGGCAGACGGTCTCGGGAACACCTCACACCTTGCTCTTACGTTTGTTTGTTGCTACTATTTCCTAATGTGTTATTGTGATCAGAATTCTACTTCCGTTGTTTCCTCATGGGAGTTATGATTCCTTCTCTGCTTTCTTGAACTTTCCACTCGCTGTTAAAGAACTGAGTATGAGTTCGTGGACGGTAACCGTGAGTGGGTTACCGGCCAACAGGTGGTGTTGACAGCTGGGTGAAGAACTCCCTCCCACAGCTGGGAGCCTCACGCCTTGTGCGGAGGTTGGAGCCGAGTTCGTCACCGTGGACCTCCAGTTTACTGTGCAATGAAGCCCTGGACGGAATCCGCACAGTCGAGTACCGCTCAGAGGGTCTGCTCGCCTTCTGTGGTATCAGGATGTGGTGGCATCTGGGTCTCTCTCGTAACGTCTGTAGAGCCAAGGATTTACGTTTCTGCTTGGTTATACTAATGCTGCAAAATTTCTCTTTCTTCCACATGTTCTTCTGGAATAGTTACCACTTTACGGCTCGGTTTGGTTGAGGAAGTGCGATACACCTACACCAACATGGTGTTAAGTTGCAATCCAGGTAAGAAATATAAATTATTGGCTATAATGATCATTTATTTTTAACATGTTTGAAATAGGAGGACCAAGAAGTCGTACTTCTGTGTTAGTTAACTAACATTATCATTAGCCTCTGCTAATGCAAAATTGACTTAAATCACTATTTTTGTTAAATAGTAAGATAAATTAAGAAAGAAATTTATAATAAAGAAGAGCGCTGACCTTCAAAAGTTTTCTTCTACACTAGGGGTCTTGCAAACGACAGCCCACAGACCAAATCTGGCCTGCCTTTTTTTTTTCTTTTAATGCCCTGCAGGCTAAAAATGGATCGTACATTTTTAAACGGTTACAACTTGACATGTTTATACAAGACCTATATATATCCTCAAATGCCAGAGTCCTGCTCCATTGGGTCCAGGGGTTCCCGAAGGATGAACAGCGTCGGCAAAAAAGTGAAAAAAAAAAAAATAGAACAAAAATAAAAATGAACACAGACCACAGCAGTGTGTTGAACTGGCCGCTTTATTGTGGCAAACGTGGCCTATTTGTTAGCAATTTCCTTGTACTGTGCGTCATCTATGTTTTCTGGCATTACCTAATTCTAAAAATGTTCCTATGTATAATCACCCTTTAAGGAATAACATGGTAATTTTCTCATAACGTTCCCTCCTGCCCTTTGCTTATTAATTTCTTACATTATTTTCATTATCTACGTTTATCTATAATCTATAAAGCATTTGCCTTGCTGTTTTCATGAAAGGTCATTTATCTCTCAACACCTCAAGTGGAACAGTTACAGGGACATGACCTCTTAGTTGTTTCCCTGAACCACTTGTGGCTTGAGGAACAAAAGTGTTCACCTCGGTCCAAGGTGCTAGAAGGGGGCCAAGAGGGCCTTAGGAACCCACGCCTTACACATTCTCAGAGAGACAATGCACCTGGGAACTAATGAACCATTCTGTACCTTAACTGACTAGGTTCAGTCATCATCTGGAATGCCTCCTGGGGGCCAAGTGGGCCTAGAGGTTGGAGTAACTTGTGCCCATAGATACACTCCTTTGTTGCCAGAGTGGGGCTTTCAAATCCATTTGTTCCTTCCTTGGCTGGGAAATGTATGAGGCTATCCTTCCTTTGGGTAGAGGAGTCTTTATAGGGGGTGGCAAGGGCTAAATGTAGGGCCGCACAGTCTCCTTGCGGAACCTTCTTACTTTCCCAATGGTTCTTTTCCCAGGAGGCCTGTCGAGGGCAATTCCCCAACACGTAATTCCCCAGGTACTTTT